ACTCTGAGAAAAGTCATCTAGGACTAAGCCTAAACAGCAGGGACGAACTCCGGAGAATACGAAAATTGCTTCCGTACACCGGAGTTCCTCTCCTCTTCAAAAGCTTAGTCCTAAAACGGAGCGTTTCCGTGATTTTGACGCGATGTTGCGAGGTGCCCCCCCGAGCCACATTGCGCCCTTACCCGTTCTCAGAATACACATAATTTCCAGCAATAATGATCTCCCTCCTAGCGAGTAATTCTCGACGATGGCTCATTCTGCTCCATAACCTCTTAAAACGCCATCCCTGGGATCACCACTCCTACTGTTATACCTTTTGCTAAACTGGCTTTTACACTGCACCCCTCTGTTCCCTAACTTTTCAATGTAGGACCATGACAGATGCAATGCGTGAAATATTTGAATTCGGGCCGCGGTAGTAAAAGGAGAGATGCTGTTTAGGTTAGAGGGCGCAGACGACGGAAGAAAGCTGGAACGGTTCAGAACCGATCACGTGGTTAGTCACGTGGTTCCCAATTTATGTTCGCTTCCGATAAGTGTAGCATGTGGTGATGGCTTTGTGCGATTTGTTGGTCATACCATTAGATTAGTGCTTTAGTTACGTTCCTGATGGAATCACTAAATCGGCCTTTTTTTTTGCAAATATTTCCAAGTGCTCATCCACGTTACCGTGAAGTGTGTCTCCATTGATTCGAATCGTTGATTTCTTTTTATTTGTTACATCCTTCAATTAAGACATGGTTTCCTGTTACAGATCATGTGCGATAGTTTTATAGCGGATGAAGTAAGAAGGTTGGAGCTGGAGGAACACTTGCAATCGTTTCAAAACAGCTTCAAAAATGAAGAAAACGATGGATCGGTCCACTCGAACCTTGAAGGAGACCTTGATCTCGATCTGCTTCAGCATATGAAAAAAAGGGTAAATGCTTGTCTTGTCATTTTGTCCACAAAAATCTACTAACGTTAGAAATGGAATCGAGAATTGGCAAAAACACCGATGTCTGGGGATGTGTGGTGCTTGGCACAAAGCTTCAGCATGTCTTCTGAAATAGTTTAAATTTTGCACTCAAAGCCATGATATAGTTTGCGATCTTGCAAGACTGCGACTCCACGATCGCAGAACCACATCCGCCGCATCACGTGTGATGCGCGTCACGCTCAGACCTCTGGGTCATTCTTTTGCCGTCCACAGTTCACAGTGTTCCTACCAATCAGCGAAAGAATACTAAATGAAATGAAGCCGCGACGTTGTACGCAAGCGTGTGGTGTCACAATTTGCAATAATCCTCACATTCACAGATAGCAAAGGATCGTGGAATTGCAAAGGTCTATGCGTATCAGCTCCGCACACAAGGGTAGTCGCGAAGTATGGTCGCTGCTGAATTAGGTGGTGGGCTGTGGTTCTCTGAGAAAGGAAGCGATTTTTTGGCGTTTCGTAGCGCGGAACATTCTTCGCTGCGGGGACCTCAGGTCACCACCGTTTGTAAATGGACCTGGAGTTCCCTCAGCGAGAAATCATACGTTGGCCGCCTGCGAAGCGAAAAGTTGCTGATGTCCTGGGCGAACAAACACCATTAGGCTGCTGCGGGGCCAATGTAGCGTATCAGGCCTGATATCCATATTTCCAGCGCAACGGAACGCAAAGGAATCTGGTACCTACCTTGGGTTCCTTTCATACCTTCCGCCGGTGCGCAACGAGTAGACATGGCGCGGTGCTTTTTGCGTAAATGCACACCACGCGCCAGCATTCTGCAGTGGCGCTTTTGCGCTTTCCGGAGTGAGGGTGCATTTATAGTCGGTCGTCCTTGTAACGGGCTTTAGCGTTGGATGCGTATCGATCCTAAGACGTGAACACTCGCCGCTAAACTTACACGGGAAAAAACGGCGGACGAGTTTTTCGCGCCACAACAGTTTGAATTCTAGGCTAGCAGTGCATTTCTTAGTGGGACCAAGGCTCAGTTCCTTGAATGCCAATCGATCATCGGGGATCGTCCACCTGAATTTGAATGCGGAAGTCATCAAAACTATTATTGGAAATGAAGAGTACGAGTTGCGTGGTTCGATACTTCAGTAATGTCGGGATGGGGGATGTAATTCTGTCGCAAATGATTCCCACAGTCTCGTTACCTGGGATCAAGCGAAGTTCAAGTTCGGCATAGCTGGGTATGATAAGTAGGATGTGTTCGTGTACATATGCACTAGCATTACTAATAGCAATACATACACGCCGCTGACTTAGAGTCCTTCTAAATCCTAGCCTTACAATATCGCGACACCAGATGGTAAGCAGTTGCTCTGTTAGTATGACGAACTTTCATCATCGATATTTGTGCGATAGGAATCTTTCAATGCAGTCATGACATGAAACCAACAAATGAATATGAACGCAATCGCAAGATGACGCGAGTGTCTTTTAGGACTAAGCATAGGAGTGGTAGGAATTTTAGGGAAAATGGGACTTGCTCACTAATTGGAATCTCCCATCCCCCGCCTAAAGAAAGCTTTGTCCTTTTTTCAAGAAGAACATGTTTAACGCGGTTTTGAGTACACTGCCAATGCCCCGTCGCTTGCGGTAGCGTCTTAAAATGCTTAGTGTTGCTTGGAAGAGATAGCGTTTTGCAGTAATGAAGCACGATACGAGCTATCCGTGTCTTGATTATGTCCTCAAGAGCGACTTCTTAGTTTAAGTAATAGTCGTAGAAGTCACTACCGATTACCTACATATTCATGCAAACTCCTAGCTTGGCATTATGGAGTATCGTAATGTGTTGACACACTAGAAATCTTCAGTCTTCTGTTCTCGAGGAGGAAATGGAAAATGAAATGTTTCGACAGGGGGAAGTTCTTGGTGGCACACGGATTTATGCGTTTCTACCGCGGACCTTACTTTTCCTTCCAACCGGGGTCTCCCTGCTCATTCTGTGCACGAACTCTGAAGTATAATCCCCGATCGATTGTTATTCGAAGGACAGTACCCTTTGTCGCAACGAAATGCACTGTTCGCCCAGAATTCGAACACTGGCAGCGCGAAAAACTCGTCCGGAAACTCGTCCGCCGTTTTTTCCCGTGTATGTTTAGCGGCGAGTGACGTGAACTTGGATTGGATTCATGTCGATACGCGCCCTGCCGAAAGTGCGAATCGCCTGCGAATCGGACGGCCAACTATTGAATACGGTCACTGAGACCAGAAGCGACTTTTTCGCTCTCCGTATTCAAAATATTTTTCGTTGCGATGACCTCAGGTCCACCGCTGATTATGCGTGGACCTGGAGTTCCTGCAGCGAAAAGATTCTTGCGATGCGACGCGAAAAAGTCGGCTTCTGTCATGAGTAACCACACCGCAAGCCGCCCTGCTCCTTTCTCCAGCACGTTCCGCGCTTTCGCAAAGTATGGAGACAAATTTCTGCGCGAAAATCAAACTGTAGAAAGCGCAACGCCATTTGGTTTTCTGCATCTCACCAGGTAAGTAGGAACTTGTACGAGATTCGCCTGAAATTATAATTATGGGTCGTATCCTAGCCTACTGATGGTAGCAAGTCTTGAGTATTAGCGCTCATTGGTCATTGCGTGCGTAAAATGGTTGTGATTGGTTGGCCGGTAACTGCTACCCAATCACGTACGTCTAGCATGCTGCCATCCCGATTCAGGCTACATATTTAGGTTGTCTCTGATCACGCAGCACCTGCTGTTATAGCTCCCACAAAGGCGAGCCGTGTTTTTGTTTCAAGTTCTTCATAATCTGTTTGTTATATCACCGTTTTTTAACACATTGCAGCCCGCGTGCATCGCCGGGTATGCACGCCGAAACTCCCACATCTGACATTTGTGCATCGCCGGGTATGCACATCTGTATTTTGCTCCCCCATGAACCTTTTTCAGTACTTCTTTGACTAATTGACTTCTGTTAGTCTCATGAATCCGTAGAACGTGTGGCATGTCGACAACTTCAATTTCAACACAAACAATCAGATTCTAATACGCCTACCTACTGAACAACTTATCATCAATTACGAAATTTTCATGCAAATTGCGCTCCAAACTTCGAGTTCCTTTGGCAACCAAAAACAAACTGTTATCGGAAAAATTTTCCTAATCAACACGTCTACTAGCTCACAGAAATACGTACGAAACCAAGCTAAACACTTATTGGACCTATGAACCGTAGTGACAAGCAAAACTTAAAAATTCATAATTGGTATGGGAACGAAAGCTCCCGCGCCCTTCCAACAAATCTGCTATGTGGGTCCCGTAATGGAAACGCACGAAATGTCCCACATATGAGATTAAAGCATCGCCGAGTATGCGCGCACGCAATACCGCCAATGCCACATGTGTGACAAGCGCCGAAATCGGCGCGGGCGTCAACGTGTTAATAATCAGAATCTTATGTGGATTTACCTATCAGAAGTGGATTTCAGCGAGAATATCCTGCTGGACGATTCCTCAAGAAAGAACTGGAATACATTGCTGAAACCTACTGCAACAACTACGAGACGTTTTTCCATTCAACTGTCAATGGCGGGAAGGACAAAGATGCTATTGCAGTGAGTAGGTGATACGTGAGGTGTCGTCGATCGATTATCGATTATCACTTGAGGAATTAATTTTTAGAGGAAGAAAGCCTTGCTGACGGAGATGGCTGAGCATATTTCGACACTTGGTGAGGAACATCGCACTCCTGAACAAGTGGAGCAGAAGATTCGGGACGAGCTGAAACGCGTGAAAAAGTACATGGCAGCCAAGGTAACTTGAACTTAATTCTTTCTCAATATTTAGCCAGTACTTCAAGTCATATAATATTTCAACCAACTGGTAATTTTCTCCAGAATCAGTCCGCTTTCCAAAACAACAGGAGAGAGATCGTTTTGTCGTCGCCACAGCGAATGATTGCGGACGTGATTGAAAAGACGACTGTTGAACCGATTAAACCGAAATCTTCTGAACAGAACGGAGTAGAGGAGGGAGTAGCCGTCGACACGTCATACGTTGATGTTCCAACTGCCAGTAAGCTTTGGAAGTTATACTGTTTTAAATTGCACAATGTTTGAGAAGATCTTAAACTTCCCATAAAGCGGCTGTCAGTTGAGAATTATCGAGTCTTGCGGCAGATGGATTACCTATTCTTACTGTGACAAACTCTGGTTCATATATAGTGTGATATATTCATTCCTTGATGTTCAAAGTTTCGTTAACAAGCTCCCATTTGCACCCAGTACCTCCCCCTTTCGCCCTCGAGGAGAAGTAAAAGTTGCGGGGGGGGAGGGGAGTAACTTGGCCAATTACGCCTTCCGTATTGGTGCATACCTCAGCTTTAACATCTTAAAAGAGAGGACCAGCCATCGAGAAGAAATCACTAGTGCAAGAGATGTCCTGCCTTCATGTCCTGTGTATAATATGTCTCTAATTTGTTCTTTGTGTAGAACCTGTGTCATCTAGAAAACCGATCGTGTCGTCACCGGCTACTTAGGAGTTTTTTCTCTGACAGTTCATAGCATCAAGCCGTAGTGAGTGCTGTGAAGTTGATAGCAGCGCGGCACTGTTTCGGTTTGAAACGTCTGTGATTGGTGATTTTATTCGATTAAAATAAAATATGTTTTGCACGCGCCGCCCATCATTGTCTTATCGCTGTTGCGTATTTGATAAATCCAAAAATTTTAAACTCATTCAAACATGCATATTGGTGTTTTTTGTTATAATTGGAAGTTTGCTTGAACGTAAGGTCCTTTACTTAGGTTCTTCGATGGAAGTGAGTCCACCATTGTTCAATCGTCAAACTGCATCACCACTTCACATGCGTAGGAAGAAGAGAAGACTGTTGAGTCAGAGAGAGCTTCCCACAAATCAATTCGAGGACTTGAGGTAGGATCTCTGTATAAATGCGCATTGCTAAAAATAGTCGGCTTTAAAATGTCGATTATTTGAATCAAAACATGCGTTCGCCTATGTTAGTGGTCACCATAAAGTGGCGCAGAAAGAAGGAACGAGGTTCGGCTCAATGTTCATTCTTGGTCAGCAGTACGCTGGAATCTTTCAGAGCTTTGAGTTCTTCAATCTTTGTATTTTTTGTATTAACACTGCTGTGTTGCGTAATCCTCATAGTATTTGTAATACGGTTGGTTATTGACAAACAGAGGTTGCTAGCTACGATGTAAGACCCTTATCACCTCAAATAATACAGAATATAAAACGCTTTCTATGTAGCGGAGTCCACGGATTTCTTCTGTGGGTAAGCTGGTATGTGAAGGATTCACATTAGGCATGCATAACTGTGAATCATCCACTTACCCACTTGCCCTCAGGACATCTGACACAAACCACTGTGGCAGCTGTCTGGTGAGAAAGCGAGTTTGAGTGGACGTTTACTCTGTTTAATGCTGTATTGTAAACCTTGATAATCTGACTTTTAGGAACGATTTCGAGTTTGTGAAGGAGAAACGACGGGTTCTGGAGGACGATATGAAGTACGCAAGAGCGAAGCTGGAAGGTGAGACTGCTGAGCGCGACTACTGGATGGCTAAGATTGACGTGATCTTGAGCGTCAGTACTGGATGCGTGAGATCGAGCGAACGTTGAACAATCGGCACTCATAAGTAGACTCCTCCCTTACGAACTTCAGAAGAACTTGAAATTACTAAAGACTTGACGGTAATGCTATTAATCACATATTGTCTGATTGTTTGCAATTGATATGGTCACGCCGCATCTTGCAAAGATTGTATGCACCTGTCGCGGTGATTCGAACTTAATTACAAGTGCGTCTTTCTTTGTACGAGAAGAGATGTGACTTGGACGAGTTTACGGCTTAATTTAATGCCAATGGTTGGGTATGTTTGTGGATTAGTGCCACGCGAATAAGACTGCATTCAAACGCCTCCATTTGTCCTTGCATTTGCAACAAACTCGTCCAAATCGCTCCCCAATAATAGGAAGTTACATGCACTATAGGGTTACGTTAATTTTTCTGAATCATCTCCGAGTTTTCAGTAAACTGTTCCTGTAGAAAGTATCACCCTCTCTCTCCAGGGTATTTCGACCATGGAGCTAATACCATATTTAATACCTTTGCAAGATGTCGGTGGATATTGCAAAAACTGTGTTTAATGTTTGCAAACTCACGTATATACAGATAAGAGAAGTTTTCGTTGTCATCCTTTTTCCATGATAACTTTGTTTTTCTAAGATGTGTGTCAAAAAATTCAGTGCGTCGTCGCGCCTGCTTGCAGTCCAAATGGGTGTGGTCCACTAGAACAGGACGCGACTTTTTCGCTTTTCGCAGCGCGAAGCTTTTTTCACTGCAGGACCCCACGTCCAAATGATCGGAGTGGACCTGGGGTTCCTGCAGTGAAAAACTTTGTGCTGCTAAAAGCGAGAAAGTCGCGTTCTGTCCTAATGAACCACACCCGTCCAAGTGCTTTGAGGTTTGTGTTGTGTGAGACGAACAACACAATGCAAGGCAGTTCGTTCTGATTTGGCGTGTGTGTTAAGATAGGTGTCAGACTTCGCGATTGCAGTTAGGCGTGTCTTTACTGATTCGTAGCTTTGCATCAGGCGGCTGACCCACTCGCGATTGTGATCGCAAAATCTGCCACTTAACTTACTCCTGTGGGGGCGCGACGTCACACGATAACCTTTTGTTATACAACAGTCTTTCTATTATATTTGTTTTCTACGGGTTGCTCGAACTCCCATCTGCTCTCACGAACTTTTTCGGACTGTGAAGATTGAATTGTTTTTTAATGTGGTCGGCATCGTTGATCATAAAAATTTCACTCATTTGTGGGAAAGAAGCATTCTTTTCCATAATACCACATCATTCATTCCCTATGGACTGAATATGCATACGAAATCCGCCACGATTCTGAGCAGAAGTCAGATGCATGTCGCATCCCAAAATTTCTGAGCAGACCATTTTTGTAAGGTATGGGAAATCACATCCAAGCTAAAGCATATTTGGCCATTGAAACCATTCGTTATATATTGTGCTGTGCGCCTACTCGAATGAACCACAAAAAAAAAACTCAGGAAGAGTTAGGCATGTGCGCGCAATAAATAAATGCAATGAAAATGTGCACACATAATGCCACAGCGCCCATGTGGCCTGCTATTGGTGGCATAGGTGGTTGCCGCGCGTCGTCAAGGAAATAAGATTTATGAAAGACAAAAGTAAAGGTCTGGGATAGAAGAGATCTGATTCGGTGAGACACAGTCAGTCGACGAGCAGTAGCGCACAGTTCTTTGAAAACGAGAGATTCTCGTAGAATGTAATGACAAAATTAGATTCAAACGACACCGCATTGAACATCTCTATGTCTAAGGCCATCGAGCTGTTGCTGTTTCGACTTAAATCTAATGTCAATTCAAAAAGGTGTTGTCGCGCCGGCATGGACGCCTTGCTCCTCGCATAAGCTCAGAAGCATCGGGGTTCACCCTGCTTAGGAGCGGCGTTCATGTCGGCGTGAGGGTACGATCGGGGACTTACGCTGCGCCCGCTCTCGCCACTGTCCACGCGGGGGTAATACACCAAAGGCCCTAGCAGCCCCTATGGTTACCGCTGCTTACCCGAACCTATTGACCTACGCCATGCCAAACAACCATGAACTACGGCCATTGCGGCCTACGACGGATGTCCCTTAAACCTAACCTACGAACAACTATGTTTTACACCGAGCTCAAATATGTGCAAAACAAATACACTACGGTGGATTCACCGTTTGATGACTTGATGAAAAACACACAAATGAAACCATAGATTCATATGAATTCTACTATGAGCAAATACTATGAAAAGAATGATAAACACTTCTACGAAATGAAAACCACGACCTACGAACTCACGGGTCGAACCCAGTGCTCAGTCCTTACGGGGGAGACGTGGTAGCGGTCCTGCGGTCCATCTCGGGCATCCATGCCCGTCCTCCTTCATGACTCCATCGACCAGACACATGGATACCAAACAGCGACGTACGACGAACAGCAGGACTACGACGGAAGAGCGAAGAGCGCAACGACCAGACTCGGCGAGATCGACGTGAAGACTGACTGACTGCGAAGGCACGTGAGCTCTGCTTCTCTGTCCTCTTCCCGAACCTTCGATCGGACGAGCGCACCGGGACCCGCGCGCACCCTACCAGGCGCGACCCTTTAAAGAAGTCGTGCGGAGGTCACGACAGGTGTTATATTGCAACACCCCAATATTAAGGTTCATTGGAATTCATACGTCAACTAGTTAAAGGTCAAATCCCTCATTGGAAGCACGGATCGCGATCAAATTGGTGTGTTGTTTTTTCGGAATTTAGACAAGAAGCGAGGAGGAACCTTAGTGAAATAACAACAAAAAACACCCAAACACTGAAATTTTCTCCGGGAGGTTGACCTTGGTACGGCGAAGAGACACAGCGCTGTGAGGGGAGGGAAAACGTGGGAGAGCTGCCGTAAACGAGAGGGTGCAGACGTTACGTATGCTGCGATGATGAGATCGGCAGCGGTCGCAGCGGTCAAGGCATCGCGCACTTGCGACAGAGCACTAACCCTGTGATTAGTGTCCTGCTAATTCTCTTGAAGAGAGAATTTTAGTGAAAATCCAACCGCTATCCGTGCCTTTGAGATGATACAGATCCTCCGCTCTATTAGGTTATTTCAGTGACCTCAAAGGCAGAATTTACGATGAAAAGTTAGCTCATTGGAAATAAGGGTAGAGGTGGTCAGTGGAGCAGGGATGAAGAAGAAACCATTTGAAACGGCCCGAAACCCAGAAATGGGACCCCTTCCTTGCCCGTTGATTTGCGCATTGATGCGACTCTCATCGCTGTGCCCTCTTCAACACTACGCTCTCTCTGCTATCTAATCACTCGCCACGTATAGACCTGCGGCGAGTGATTAGATAGTCGGTGGGCGTACCCCGCCAACCGCGCCAAGAGTGAGCCATGCTAGATCGCCGAGGTCAAATCTTTCGCTGCCAATTGCGCGTCGGTCAGCACCCTCAGGAGGTCCGCCTGTCTCCCAACTATGCAATTCCCCTCTTTGATCGTGAATTCCTCCTTTAATGTGATGCAAACGGTATCCCGTCCATGCCTCTATTTTCGCGTGCTGCTTTAGTGAAAATTTAAATTTTTGATGTTAATGCAAGTGGCAAAGTTCTGCGATGTTCAATAAGCAGATTTTGTGCTCTCTGGAAGGCAGAAGTTGCTGAGAGCGGAAGTTTTTGCCCAGTGTCACTGGGTGCTACAATTCCATGAGACATTTCGCGCAAAATTCTCAATTCAAACCTATTAATTAACAGCTCCATCTTCATTTCAGTATTTATGAATTTTAAATAACTAAAGGGCGGAAGTGGTGTAGTGGCAAGTGGCACGCTTACCACGCGGGCGGATCAAATCCTGGGTCGTGAGTCGCCCGGGCCAACCAAGCCTTCCATCCCTCCGGGGTCGGTTAATTGGTACCAGACTTGTCTGGGAGGATAAAAACACTGACTTGTACATCGGCTGGCCCCCGCAAGTCATTGTATAGGCCACATCGCATTCAAACGCCACTACGAATGTACAAATGGAAGTAGAATGCGTGCCGCATCCCAAAAAGGGATTGATCAACGGCAAATGCTTTATCCTTTATCCTTTTTAATAACTTAGTACATTTTTAGAGGTTTACGATGCAATTTTGTGTTCATGACAGTCATACGCGCCGAAATCTTGCTGTAAGCCGTCGATTTTGCATAAATTATGAGCACAATTTTAATTTTCGCGGAGTCCGCGTAGCCATCACCGTCTAAAAATGCCCCTCTAGGAATAGTTCACTTGTGGAGCATTTTATTATTAATCTTTTGAACCATTTTTTAGGAGAGAAAGGTGTGCCAAGATAAGTTGTGAGTTGCCATCCAACCATCGCTTCCTCATTTTCCGTTCAGTTTTTGAGTAACCAGAGAGGTGTTACGAAGAACTTCTGCAGAGAGTCGGCACTTTTCAAGATTCTACAATTTTGAATGTGAGTCTTGAGGCTAATCTCTCCTAAGTCCGTGCAGCCCCGTTGATCCGATCGTCCATCATATGGGAGCCAGGGTCACTTTCTTCGCTAAGCTTTTTTGAGAGCTTTTTCTTGAAGAATGAGCGTGGAAACTAATTCAGAAATTCCAATTTTCTGAGCTTGAACGAATCTTTGTCGGCTTTCAGCACTCGGTAGAAAGCCTGAAGAAAAACGAGTATTAAAATTGATCAGCGGATTATAAGAAAGTAAGGAGTATAATTCAAGCCTAAAATAATAAACTTAGTGGTCCGTTTCGCCTCCACTCAGACGAACCACTATGTTTTCATCAACACCGGAGGCTCATCGGTGAGGTAGTGTTGATGAAAACCAAGGGATTGTTAGTAAAGTGGTGAATTACTAGAAGGAAAAAAAGGCGTGAAAGAAGAGATGCAATGAGGAAGAAAACGTATAAGTTAGATAAAGTAAAGCAGGTAGAAAATCAGAACCAAGTCAAATGCGAATAGCAGAAAGAAACTGTCTATTCAAATTCAAATATAGGACGGGTAGTTGTCTATGCTTGTGGTGACCGCCTCACTTTTTACAGACTCTATTGCGCC